GAAAAGTCGAAAGAGCTACCACAACGATCATGCAGTGCACGATTTCCAATTTCAAGACAATTATTATGCAAAACACAGGGCAATAACATTTTCTCTATTATAATAGTGGAGGTGCCGTGATATAGTAAATCATTAATAAATTAATCCACATTTGCCACTCTCCACCCAGGTTTAAATTATTATTAATAATTGTAGAGCCATCAGGAAAATAGCATTGAGGCTTCCCTGGATAAACAAAATTGTTACTATTATTATTATCATTCATTATCATTATCATCATTAATATTATCATTATTATATTGTCAATATCATCACCATCAATATTATCATTATCAGTATTATTATCATTACTATTAATTATGTCATGTGCGTAGGTAGTATATGTCTAAGAGTATTTTTGTCTTTTGCTTATGGCTGTATATCCTTGACTTTACAGCTGATGCGATAAAGTAAAAAATAAAAAAAATTAAATTAAATCAAATTAAATCCCCTTGAGAAGCAGGCTTATTTTGTTTTCGCCACAGTAATAAAAACATGGTATTATTATTATATATCCAACAGGCATAAAATAAAATCAAGATTTATTTTCGGATCATCATCATAGAAGGGGGAAATTGTCATTATAAAAAACATATGCATGCAGATCGAAACAATTTAATGATCATTAAATGTTAATCTTTCCATCAACTATCGCTATCTAGAACGAAAATAAATGCCCGCTATTTCAATTTTTCTGGTCTTGTGTATAGAACCCCAAATAAAGATAAATAATACTACCAAGCTTTAATATTAAGGGACAACAAAACAAAAACAAATCAGATTTCCGATTGTTTCCACCGAACTGTAAGATAATGCGAACATTAAAGACAATGGTTTAACGAATTTACAAAATTCCCCGTTTTCCTCAGAGTCCTTTACCGAAATTTCCTTTAAATAAATTCGGAAGGCCGTCTGCCACGCAATGCGAAAATCACAACATTGCGTTAAAATTATGAACTTTAAAAAGTCCCTATAATGTTTCCCGACGTTAACTTTACGAGGCTATTGGGAAAATTGATATTTCATAAGAAACTAAGTTTGGATGGGCTCGTAAATTTACCATCTGACATAATATAGCAGCTTACGCCTAATTTGTATACACTGCTATGCAGTGGCGTACCTGGGGTACTCCGTCAGGGGGGGCAAGCGACCGAAACAAACAAAAAAGGCGATGCTAATTTTCACTTCTGGCGAGCGAGCGAGCGAGCAAAAAAAAATCTTTAAGTAACGTTTGGTATATAAACTGGTATTGTTGCAAGTTGGGGGTGGGAACATTCACTTGTTAGCAACGTTAATTTCATTTTTTTTTGCAAACTAGTGTAGCGAGCAAGAAAAAAAATCACTTCTTTTTTAATAATTGCCACTTAAACTTGGTTTAATTGTCCCATGCAGGGCGCGGGAACAATATTGTGTTTAGGGTGATTGTTGCAGGTAGGGGGCGGGCACACTCGTGTTTAAGGCAATGTCAATCCCATTTTGGCGGGCAGGCAACCCCCTACATTTCTCTTTTTAATGATATTGTAGCAGGTTAGTGGTGGGCACATAATTCCACGAGCTAGCGAGCGTAGCGAGCGAAAAAAAAAATCACTTTTCTTTTATAGGGAAAATATGGTACATAAAACTTGGGTTCATTGTTCCATGTCAGGGACGTGATTATTAAAAGCGGTGTTAATTCTATTTTGGCGAGCGAGCGTAGCGAGCGAGCAAAAAAAAATCACTTCTCTTTATAGGGAAAATATGGTATATAAACTTGGTGTAATTGTTCCATGTCAGGGACGTGATTATTAAAAGCGGTGTTATTTCTATTTTGGCGAGCGAGCGTAGCGAGCGAGCAAAATTTTTGTAATGATAATTGGTTCATAAATTTCAGATTTTTTTGTTGCAGGGCAGGGCTTACACAATCATGTCTAAGGTGATGTTAATTCCCTTTTGGCGAGCACGAGCACACCAAAACTTCTTTGAATAACGTTTCGTACATAATTATTAACTGGTTGTTGCAGGTTGGAGCGGGCACGTTAGCGGTGTCAATTCCATTTTGGCAAGCGAGCATAGCGAGCAAGCAAAAAAAATAAATTCTCTTTTAATAGAAATTAATAAATAAACTTGTTTTTATTGGTGCAGGTCAGGATGGACGCAATCGCGTTTAACGCGATTCAATTCCTTTTTGGCGAGAGGGCGAAAAAACTCTTCCATTTTTAATGATATTGTTGCAGGTCAAGGGTGGGCACAATTGTTTCCAAAGCAATGTCTATTCATTTTATTCGCGAGCGAGTGTAGCGAGCGAGAAAAATGAATTAGTCTCTTTTTAACATTTGGTACATATATTGTGTGTTATTGTTGCCATGGTTGCAGGTCGGGGCCCGTCGGGGCAGGCACAATTGTATTCTAGGCAATACTAATCCTTTTCTCTTTTCAGGGGGACGAGGAAGTGAAAACATTTAATACAAAATAGGCTAGCAAGCAGTTCGCGCCAGCGAAGAGTTTTAAATTTGTTATATCACTTATATTTTCCTATTTTCATTTGTTTTAATTTTTCAGGGCCGTATGCTAAATATTTTTCTGATGGGGGAAGGGGGAAAGATGCGTTAAAAGTTTTCGAAGAATCTCAAAAGCAAAAGGAGTGAAGGGAGTTCGAGCGACCGAACTGGTCATGAGGGTACTTTTGCATTTTCAAAAGTAGAATTGAAGGATTTGGTATAGGCCTACACTACATTTTCAGGAAAAAAACTGTACGATTTCAAAATATCTGGGGTCAACTGCCCCCCCCCCCCTGGTTCTTACGGCCATGTTCTTTATTTCTTTTCCCCATTTTTATTCCTTTCCTTTTCTTTTCCCTTTTTCTTCCTTTTCTCTTCTTCTTCCTTTTTTCTTTCCTTTTTTTCCTTTTTTCTCTTTCTTTCCTTTTTTCTTTCCTTTTCCTTTTTTCTTTTTCTCTCCTTTCCCTTTCTTTTCTTTTCTTTCCCCTTTTTCTTTTTTTCCCCTGGAGCCCGTCAGGGGGGGCACTCTGCCCCCCCTGCCCCCCCCATAGGTACGCCACTGCTGCTATGTAATTTGAACAATCTGTCATACTTGTATGTATCATTATTTGGACTGTTTTTACAATGAATTTTCTTTCATTTAACCGAAATAAATGAATTAATGAATGAATGAATGCTATAGAAGCAGAGATTGGTTATAAAATAAGGTTGCAAAATTCCACCAATTTTCCTACACCAGCAGCAGATTCTGTCCCTTTACTCTTAAAATCGAGAAGGAAAGAAAGCAATTTTGTCAGGAAATCGTTTGGCACGCGAGGTAATAACCACATCTAGATGAAAATATGAACGGAAGTTTCTCGAAACATTTCCGCACTCTGGGCTGTTTAGGGGAAACTTGACAGCATGAGCCTGCAACTTTTGATAACCATGAATCAGGGGTAAACTATATCGGATGGACACGGGGAGTTTTCCAGCAACATACAGGCATGATATTTTCGCTTGCGTGCCGGTTGATCAAAAAATCAATGAAGAAATAATAAGAGCGTCCTTGGACCGCAGGATGTAGATGAAATATGAAGTGAAAGTTTCTGGAAACATTTCCACTTTGGACTGCTTGGGGGAAACTTGACTTCGGTGGTAAGCGCTTTATAAGCACCGTTTTTATTATTGGTATTATTATTAACCTAACAAAATTAGTCTGAAGCCTTCTGACAATCAGGGTGAAAGATATCGGATCGTCACGGGGAGTTTGTGGATTTAATAGTTGCTCCCACAGGCCGCTTCATATTCTGGCTTGCGTGTCGGTTGATAAAAAAGTGAATGTAAGAAATTTTAAGAGGCCCGCCACAAACATGATACCAGTTTGTAATGTTATATGTTTTTCATACCCACCCCCTCCCAAATTAATTAACTAATGTTGGGAAAACTTAATTAATCAAACTTGCCCTATTCACAAGTCAAATTCTTTGAGAGAAAATTAAAATCTTTTCTTTTACAATTTTAAAAAACAAATTAAATGTTCGCGTAATCAATTCGTGTTCAAATTTCCCTTTTTGTTTTATTCACCCCCCCCCCCCCCCACGTTGTCATGCCGTCCCCCCCCCCCCCCTCTTCTTCATTACTAGTCATTCTTATCTGCATCATTTTGCGCGCTCTCTCTCTCTCTTTCTCTCTCTCTTCTCTTCCCCTTTCTCGTGTGCAACCCCATTTGAACCTTTGTACTTTTCTGTTTAAAAAAAAGAAGTATTTTACAAAATGTGGGGAATTGGGATTTACCGTTGTCTTTCGCAAAGGACAGTAATTGTTGTTTTGTTTTTTCCTTTTCCTTCTTCTTCTTCCTTTTATAATTATTATTATAATCGTTGGTGTTATTATCATCATTATTAGGATTCTTATTATTATTATCATTATTATTGTTATTGTTCATTACTATCAATATTGTTTTTATAATCATAATCACCTTTATATTTTATTTGTTACTAATAATATTATAATTGATATTTTTATTGATATCATTTGTTTAATTACTATTATTATTGTTATTTTTTTAATCAATATTGTTATCATATTTATTGTGACCATTAATTAGTTTTGTTATCATTAATATTATTGTTATTACCATCATAATTATCATTTATTATTACCATCATTATTTCCATTACTAATGGTAAAACCGGGGCAGCTAGAGCAGATGATAAATACATCTTGAAATATCATTTTTGGGCGGTGGTGGTGGCGGGGGTGCTGCAATCCACCCCACCCCTTCCCTCTCCATTTGTAATTGGTCAAAACTGCAATGAACTGGCACTGGGTGGATTGTCTGTAGAAGCCGCCATAACAATGCTAAAAAAAACGACAGCGCGCGCAGTGTGTGTACTGCATGCTGTACGTGAGATCTACATTGAAGATAGCGCTACGTACGTACAGTACACAGAGCTAGCTAGAGACTCCAAGCCCTGCGTATAAAATTAGCACTGCTCATTTGCCGTTCAGTTAGACCAGTACCAGCATACACAACGCACAACTATTGAATCATACTAGCTCACATTCGCAAGACCTCAGCTCAGTCTAGTTTGTAGCCTAGACAGGTACGTAAGTAGAATAGATCAATATATTTGTGATCTGCTTTAAAATAGCTGTTACTGTGTTGGAATTGAATTTTCGTGAAAAGGTAGTGTAGACAGCCAAACCTTAGTCTACATTGCATTGTCACTGCTCATCGCTTATTCACTATCAGTATCGCCATGTTCACTTCGTCCTTGAGGCTTGAGTTGAGACTTGTTGAGTGCCTTGTTGTTTGTCTGTTTGTAATTATGTTGATTGTAACTTTACTCTTTTAACTTTAAGTTTTAGGGCCTAGGCCAGGTGCTATAATGTTTATTGCACAGGCCAAGCCTCTGGCTTATTGAGAGATAATATAACCCTGGTAACCACTCCCATTTAATTTATTTAACTCTGGGGGGGGGGGGGGGGGCGCGGGGGTAGGTCTACTCAGACTTAAGTTAGTTTGGACGGGTGTGCTGCTCAAGGCTCGAATAATCATCTGATTCTGATACTATGGGGAAATAACCTTCCTCATATAATAAATATTAAAGAGAAACTCCAGTACTGGTAAAAAAAAAGAAAATGAATTCTCACAGAATCAAACGAAACTTACACCGAATGTTCAAGATTACAAATAAATGTCATGTGCCAAACAATTTTGGAAGAAAATGTATACTGGCTGAGTAATGAGCATAGAAAGACAAGGAAATCAAGGTAGTACCAGCCCCGACAACATGCGTGTTGTCCCACATATAGCTTTCTGTGTACGGTGCGTGTTACTTTACCAAAACTCGGTCAAATTTATTATGATTTTGATGACTCTAGAACCTTGCAGTGCACACCAATACTTACATTCTACATGATCAACTTTTTCTGATCCTTTCCACACCTTTTCTTTCACAATGCAATCGCATTACCAGTACTAAAGTTTAGCTTTAAGAGGCGGTCACTGGATGGATCAAGCCGCTAGCCCAGAAGGCAAGCCAGACGTAAAGTGCTTCTAGACCTACTACTTGGTCTCATCTCAGTGACAGTGAAACGACTGTCGATAAACATTGTTGGTTCTTGTTTTGGCTTTCGGTTTTCAGTCAAATTTGACTATTTCTAATTTACATGTAGACTACGTCTAGTCTGGCGTTATAATCAGAGACTGGTGAAGCCATATATATAGTCAGGGAGGCAGGATGGAGCACTAATGGCAATGACGGTGGATGTCTTCAAATATCATTTTAACAACAACAAAATACTCAACCAATTGTGGCATTTTAAAATAATTTTTCTTCTGAAAAAAATACCCCATCTATGATCTACCACCTGTCTACGTCTACACTCTACTGGTGACAGTGAAATTTGAAATTAGACCCCCCCCCCCTACCTACCACATAATTTCCCTGGCTATTCCATTTCTAATCTCTACCCCCTTTCTCTCCCCCCCCCCCCTCTCTATCTCTCTCTCTCCCTTCCCCCCTCCCCTCTCTCTTCCCCTCTCTCTCTCTCTCTCTCTCTTTCTCTCTTTTTTTTTTTGGTCAACCTGTACCTACATTTAGTTCTCTATCTATAGTCTTATTAATTTATTTTCTTCATTCTTGTTCTCATTCTCAGTGCAGCTAAAGGTGTGATCATGGCTGGACTTTTTAAGAACCTCTAGCGTCGGCTTTTCTGCTTGCTGATACGGCACAGCAGAAACCATACAGGATCATCCAACTATTATTAGGAGGTCCCCAGACTCCACACACTCCACACAAACGCGTACACCACCAAGCATCCATCATGCCTGTCCAGACCCCGCAATGGACGGAGGTCCTCTCTTGTCCCGTGTGCTGCAAGGACTTCAGCCCGAGCGGCCGTCAGCCAGTCAGTCTGTCGTGCGGTCACACAGCCTGCAGAATGTGTCTCAGCAAGCTGCATCGTCAACAGTGCCCGTTCGATCAGACTCCCATTTCCAAGGATGTGAGTAGAATATTTCGTCCAGCTTTCATTTCAGGATTTCCTTTTGAATGAGAAAACTAAATAATGAGTACCAATCACTTGAAAAATTAAAGGCATTGTTTAATAATAATATTGTATGGCTTTGTTTTCGTGTGATACAAGAATATATTGGCTCAGTCAGTAGAGTGTCCGCCTCACAACCGGGAGGTCGTGGGTTCGAACCCCAGCCGCGTCATACCAAAAGACGTTAATAGATGGGAGTTGTTGCTACCTTGTTTGGCGTTCAACAATAAGGGATAGAGCAACGTCGATCTGGGGCTGCTCAGTGGCTGCCGGGCTCACGATCAATTGGGCAAAAAGAATTTCCATTTCGGTTTAATAAAATTTGGAGTGGACTATTAGGCTAGGCTATTATTAGGCTATTATACAATGTAGCTCAAGCAATATATTCTTGTATCACACTCAGGGCCATCCAATATTATTGTCTAATATTATTAGTCTGACTAGCGAGTCTGACTAGCGAAAAAAACAAAAATTTGACTTCCTTTGTTATATATGGCTTCGTTTTTGTGTGATATTGCCATGATATCCATATATCAATAGTTGAAGTTCCCAGATGACTGAGCAATACAAAAACAATATTGGCCAGTCAGCCAGGTATTGCGCTAAAGATATTAAATACACTAATTTATTGTACCACTGGGAAGCCCTATATTCATGTACAAAAATAAAATATTGAAGCCCTAAAAAAAATGCACTTCAAAATGATCCTGAAATGCTTCAAAAAAGCAATATCTTTGACTGACCTAAAGGATTATAATGATGATTGCAGCACAAGCTAAATCCAGGATTTTGTTTATAATCTGAGACAAAGATACTCAATCCATATGAGTACAGCAAGAATGTACAAAATCAACCTCAAAGTACCTTACCTGGCATTCTTTAGGTAAACATTCAAAGAGTATGAAGAAAATAAAGGATAACATAAAACCCTGCATGTATAGTTGCATGGGCTTGGGTGCTGTCTGAGCCCTGTTTACCTTTTCCTGTTCATTTAGAATGTATTTAAATTTCAATATCTCTTTGTAGAAGTAATATTTGAAGCTCATATTTTTCATACAAATATACATGTAGCAACCCCTTAGATCAAGAGAAAAACATGTTTTGGTGATTAGTTTAGTTTTGTCCTTTCCTCTCTTTATCTCGATAGATGGTGTTTTATTTAATAGCAGTTATTTTCTAAAATTACCTGTTCTTGATGAATTAGTTTGATTCATTTATAATGTTTACATGTAAGGAAGTGTGGAACAGGGGCGATCTGTTGTTAGGCCTAAATAAAAAAGATGTTGTATTGCCCTTTGAGACCAACCCCAAAATCTTGAAATCTACGGTCCACTTTTTTTAAAAAAGCATTAAAAACTGAGAAATATCCGCCCAAAGAAGGAGAAAAAAAGAAAAAAAATTGTTAAAAAAAAAAGATTTCGACCGACCGACCTATGTTTTAGCACCTACACTGTACATGTACAGGGCAATACAACATCTATTTTTTAGGCCTTATGATCATGTCAAATTGTGCTTGTCTCTTTGAAGTTTTAGTATCATTTTCCATTAAGGATTATTGCCTAACTGCCCAGCTCGTACTGTACTTCATTGATAAGTAAATCTAGTTCTGCAGAACATCACCAGTACACTCTTCAATGTACATGTATATTCAGGGGGGGGGGGATCTTGCAATGTTACCTTTGCCGTTTTATGCAGATGATTTCTGAGTTCTTTAGAAATGTGATGCTTAATACAGTCAAACCTGCTTTAGCGACCACCTGTACATAGGAAGACCACCACTCTATAAAGACCTCGGTTTTGTTTCCTTTAAAATGGTTTCTCATTGAAACATGTACAAAAGTAGCCTATACATTTAAGACCACGTGCCTACGAGAACCACTCTTAAAGACCATATCCGAACTGATTAATGAAATGGATGAATTATATATCAACGGAAAGCTTATAAGACATAGATTACAATAATGTCAATTATATGCCATTTTAGTGTCTGTCAAAAAATATCAGCTCTCTGACAACTCAAAATCTAAAGCTTTGAAAATGGGAAGTTGTTGACCTAAAATCTTGCGATCGACTTGATGACATCATCTTACATGTATGTGGAGTACGCATATTCACAATGCCTTTGCATTAATTAAGCACAGCTCATCGCCTTGGCTATATACACTATACTGTAGGTGAAACAATGGGTTCCACAATGTTATATCGTCACTGTAACTTCAGCAAGTTTGACCCCCGTTGACCCGTAATTTGGAGGGGTGCAGAAAATTTGCTTTTGTGCAATAATGAAAGAGTAATTACTTTTTATTCCTTTACATTTGTACTCTACATTCATCCAGTTTTCCATTTTATATATCAAGTTGTATTTTAATCGAATAGGGTCTTTGAATAATAATACAGGTTTCACTTTCACAGTTGATCCTTATCAATATCATGTTATAACTCATGTGGTAGGTGGACAAGCTTCCTACAAACTTTGCCATTCTTCAGCTCGTGGCTGGTCAGGAAGTGATGAGAGATCCGTCAAGGAAACGGATTCCCGATGGCCTGAAGCCTGCTGAGTTTGAGAACTATCAGACTACACAGGGCATCATTGAAGAATTGGCTCTCTATCTCAAGGCTCTTAACAAACGTAAGTAAAAACTAAAGATACAGTCAGGCGATGCCTTTGGTACTGTCTTGTCTTACAATTTGTATATATATAATCCCTCCTTCAGATATATGCGTATCAGTGCAATGACCCCCTGGACAATGACCCCCAGAAAATTACCCCCTAGGACAAATTTTGTTGAGGTAATTTTTTTTTGGGGGGGAGGTAAATTGTCCTCATGCAAACTCCTCAAGAAGGAAGTATCCGATTTCCAAGTAGAAAAAGAATTGATGCACTTGCCCTATTTTTTATGCTTCCGACCAAATATCACAGTAGGAAGACACATTGACTTTGGAGTAACTAGGTCAAAGGTCACAGAGGTCAACTTCTAATATTCCAGCTATCAGCCTTATTATTGCAAAATTTCTAGAACCACTAGAGAAACAAGGCTCTAAGTTGGTGATGATATGCACCAGCAGTCGCAATTGTCTTGTTTTTCCTCTGGCCTGTTACTCCAATTCAACTTCTTCTTTTTTTAACCTTTGATGATGAGATGATGCGTAAAAAGAGACATATTTTTAAAAGCATACAATGTACGTGTAAGCGATGATCTTTATCATAGTGTCTTGACCTTCGGCTAATGTCTTTCAGCATCTTCCGGTAGCCTGAATGGAACCCTGAACGGTAACGGTGGCTCGCCCCTCCTCAGCCGTCCGATCCAGCGTAAACTAGTCACCCTGGTCAATTGTCAGCTGATTGAGGGAGAAGGCAGGGCCAGGGTGGTTCGGGCAGCCCGATCTCTGGGGGAGAGGATCGTTACAGAACTGATCATTCAGCATCAGAACCCGCAGCAGCTCTCTACCAACCTGTGGGCTGCAGTGCGAGCCAGAGGCTGCCAGTTTCTTGGACCTGGTATGTAGTTGTTTTGGACGTTAAAGGCATCGTTTCACAATGTTAAATCTGAGATGCATGGCCCTACGAGTTATCAGTGTCTGTGATATGGTGTATTATTGAAGCCCTACAAAAATTGCGCTTAAAAATGATCACGAAGTGCCTCAAAAAAGTAAAAATCTTTGAGTGACCGGTTTTACCATACTCATTTCCCCCAATAGACTGTAAAGTTATAATGGTTTTTGAAATTTTGATTTCCAATCATAAATATCTTAAAAATCAGACAGGCGATCCGCTTGTAAAAGTCATGGGAATCCTGACCGACCTAAAGGTTTATAATTATGATTGCAGCATTAGCTAAATCCAGGATTTTGTTTAGAATCTGAGGCAAAGCTACCCAATCCCTTTAATCATGCTTTCAGTGTATTTCATGTCATCATTTATTTATTTCGACCATGACTGTTCTTGTTATTTCTATATGTTTTGTTGCGTATAAACATCCCATGTAAAATTTCCATTTATTTTTATTTGGATGAGTTAAAAATGATGAAAAAGCACTATTTCTGTTTGATATGCTCCATGCAAATACTCTTCGTTTCTTCTCAATATGATATGTGAAATATCATTCCAGGGGCCAGATTCACAAAGTCTTTTTTCAATGACAAATGACGAAAATCAGTGACAAATCTGCTGATAACCAATCAGAAGCAAAGATTTCATAGCTTATAACAAAAACTGTCATTTGTCACTGATAACAAGTTTTGTGATATGCCCCCCTGGAGGTCGTATCTATTAAACAAATGATAGAAACATGTGACCAGTCACTCCAAAACCAACAAAATGTCGCCATAAATTATTTTTTAGTTTGGGTCTAATTATAAATATGAGTTTTTCAGCTCATCGTGATTGGATATTCCTCACCCAGTAAACAAAAGAGAAGAATGTCCATACACCTTATTTATAACTATATATGTACAGTATGTGAATATTTATTTAGTAAATGACATGTCACAGTGTGGCGACTTATCCACTAAACCACATCACCTCTACACTGTTGACATTTGCATTTGTATGTACCGGGTATGCGAATATTTTATTTATAAATTATACATGTCACAGTGTGGCGACTTATCCACTGAACCGCATCACCTCTACACTGTTGACATTTGCATTTTTATGTACCGGGTATGCGAATATTTTATTTATAAATTATACATGTCACAGTGTGGCGACTTATCCACTAGACCGCATCACTTCTACACTGTATATGACTATTTATTTACCAAACTATACACATGTCTGTCTTTTACAGCAATGCAGGAAGAAACCCTGAAAATATAACTCCCTTCAGCAGTCCAAAAAATGTTATATTACACCCCTGCCAGTCACTATCTGTATAATATGTATTTGTCTATGTAAATATTGATTTATTAAATCATACATGTCCTGTCTTTTAAAGCCATGCAGGAGGAAACTCTGAAGCTTGTTCTGCTGGCGCTGGAGGACGGGACACCTCTCTCTCGCAAGGTCCTGGTCATGTTTGTAGTCCAGAAGCTTGAGATGCAGTTTCCCCAGGCCTCCAAGACGAGCGTGGGTCACGTGGTTCAGCTCCTCTACCGAGCGTCCTGTTTTAAGGTCACCAAGCGGGAAGAGGAGTCCTCTCTCATGCAACTCAAAGAAGAGGTGAGCTCATTTGAATATTAAATTTGAAAGAAATTACATGTGATAACAACAACAGAGCTGCCAACCATTACGTTTTTCCTGGAATTATTATGTATTTTTCTCATTATTACGGTAGTACGTCTTCATTAGAAAACTTCTATAGAGATTGAAAGGTGTGAATATTCTCAAAAAGAATGAAATGCCTATAATAAAAAAAAAAATAGTACTTAATATAAATTATAGGTCCTAATATGGAAATTACAGCATGAGGAATGGACATTTCTGCATTGGAAGTGTGTCACGTTTTGCTTGAAATTGCTTTTTTTGCCATAATGGTTCCTTTTTTTGGTTGCCCAAGGTTGGCAGCTCTGCAATAATGAAAGCTACATTTATATTGAGCACATATCTATACCAGTGAATGCTGTAAGCGCCCACAAACTCCTTGTATAACCCTGTGTTAAGCCCAGCTGCCCTAAGGCGCTCATAGCATACAAGGAATAAGTTCCTACCTAATTTACTACACCTGGGTGAAGAGTGGCGATGCAGATCAATTGGCAGGGATTCAAACCCTGTAACCTGTGGTTCACAGAGTGATGACTTATCCACTCATCCGCATCACATCTACAATGTTGACATTGCTTATTTCTTTTATTGTGCAGTTCCGCAACTACGATTCCCTGAGACGCGAGCACGACACGCAGATTGTTCAGATAGCCATCGAGGCCGGCTTGAGGATATCACCGGAACAGTGGTCGTCCCTACTGTACGGTGATCTCAATCATAAATCTCACATGCAGTCCATCATTGACAAGGTGAGAATGATCATACTCTTCCACTCCTACCTCTAGGTATCATATTTGTTTGTTATGCCTCCGCTACAAAGTAGCCGACAGATGGATTACTATCAAACTCAGGACATGTATTTATCTTGCAGAGCCATGTATATGAAAAATAGCTTTTAATCACGATATTCTGAGAACCTGTTAATGGATTACAATCAAACTTTGATTTTAAAAATTGCTTCCGTTTTGTTTTGTAAAATTTATGGCGGAGGCATCATTTTCAACTGTGTGCAGTCCAAGATCCATCTAGTTTTTTGATGACGTAAAGTGTAATAGATTTCACATTTCTGTATCTTATAATACAGAGTTCAGCCAATATATGCGCAGGGCCATTGTTGCCGTTCATTCAACGTTTTCATTATTAAGCAGCTGGCATTACGTCCTTTCCGTTTCTATTCCGATTTCAGCCTTCTGTGTTCATTCTTGCGATTGAATCTGAAGAGTTCAAGTCAAAAAGCTTCAGTGTGTCTGAATCCGTTGCTATTCTTTGATTTTGTATTACCAGTCATCTCTTCAATTTAATACTTTGTACTAATTTACACATTTTTCCCCAATCCATTACATTTTTCACAGCTCCAGACTCCAGCCTCCTTCACCTCCAGTATCCAGGAGTTGACCATTTGTCTCCAGCGCTCCGGAGATCCAGTCCGCTTGGCCCAGCTCCACGCTCAGCTGGAGAAACTGGCAGCCATTGACCCAAGTCCAGGTGGGTACATCTTTGAACCTTTGCATCACACCAATGATTAACCATTCCATATTTTAAAAAATCATGTAACATTGCAGGTTCATTCAGATACAGCCAAACCTGTCTCTAATGACCGCCCAAGGGAGACACAAAAAGTGGTCTTTGAAGACAGGTTGTCTTTGTGGACAGGTTCCTTTTAATGTTTAAATGAGAAATATTTTCAAGGGAAACAAAAAATGTGGTCTTTGAAGACAGGTGGTCACTAAATAAAAGCAGTTTTGACTGTATCACCAACAAAAATTGCTGCAGATTTGTGTATGTGTAAGTGAATGGCATTATTATTATAATTTTATTATAAAAATTATATTGTTGTTGTTGTTATGCTTATTATTGTTATCATTATTATGTTATCGATATTATTATTCTCTCTCTCTCTAAATGCCATCTCAATTGACTTTGGCGATCATGCTGTTCTACAACCCTTGGTTCATATCCTTCTCTATTAGTTCTTTCACTCCTCTCTCTTCCAACAATTTTTGCATTTTTTTTTCCAAAGTATCCTCCTTCCCCCTTCTCCTCCTTCCCCCTACTCCTCCTTCCCACAATTTTTCTTGTCAAAGCAAGATTCTCTAGGCCTTTTATTATTATTACTGACATTGTTATTACTATCATTGTTATCAACAGGAGCAATGATCTCCTCCTGGGAAGGCATCCTGTCTGCTTTAGACTCTGTCAGGAAGGTCCTCAAGGGGCTGATGGAGTTCCTCCAGAACTACTCCCAGAACAAGAAAGCCCTGGATCTCCAGACCCAGAACATCAAGTACAAGACCAGTCTGTGTCGGGACGTCATGCAGAAGGGAGGCTGCCCTCGGGGGCCAAGCTGCACGTTCGCGCACTCGGAGGAAGAGCTGGAGAAGTGAGTATAGAAACGATATTTTAGTAATGAGATTACAAAGTGTTATTTTGAGTACCCTAAACAAAATAGGGAAAAATGGAAAATGATCTCAAACATACATACACAATCGTTCACAATATAGCAGACTTCATCTAAGCCTACATTCCTGCATTATTGCAAACTTACGAAATCCAGTGTGTTAAAATTCACTTTCGTCTATTCCAGGTACCGTTCAAAAAGCCGTCAACTCCTGTCCTCGCTGAACAGTCAGAACAAGAATTCAAACGTTTCACGCGGAGATGGCTCCTTATTAAGCGAGGGTAATAATGAGACATCTACCCAGTCCATGCCTGGCAGTTCAAACGGCAAGCCACCAAGGGACCAACCCATATACAGCCTGGAGGAATGCTCCGCTGCCGCCAGGCTGGGGAGCGAGTCTCTCTACAGCAGCGTGTCGGGGCTGTTCTCTGATCAGCAGGAACGCAGCACTGGCTCGGCTGCCATGGGCTATAAATCTGAATCGGGCCGGATCCACAGGCCCCCTCTCAGTGCATTCTCTCAGCTGGCTTCCTCAGAGAGAAATGAGGATGAGCTACGTTTGGATGAAGATATGTAAGTAAACATAGATTCTCCTTTAGATCTAGTTTACAGGCCTTAAATTTCGTCATTTTTAGGGCAAGGCCAGTTTGGCCTCGAGTACCTCATATTTTTAAGGGCACCAAGGCCAAAATATTTTTACAAAAAGGGCATCGAGGCCAAAATATTTTACAAAAAGGGCATCGAGTATGAGGCCAAAAAAATTGATTCTATTTTTGTTAGATGTCATGTGTATTTTATGAAACTTGTGCAGGATCAATTTCCCATGACTTTTAGCACCAGCTTCTTCACAGAATGTATAGAGGTCTCCGGTACATACAAACAAGCAGGCGCGTAGCCACAGGGGGGGGGGGGGGGGGGACGGGGGGCACGTGCCCCCCCTAAAATTTCCAGGATCGGTTGAAATTTTGTAGACCCCTTTTTTTGACCTCGATCGATTACATGTATGTGCCCCCCCAAACACCAAACTCTGGCTACGGGCCTGCAAACAAGGCGGCGGCCCGCAAGCCTTAGATTTAGCAGCCAGGAGCAAGGGGCAATTTTTTTTTTTAAGTTGCCCTTTGCCACGGGAATTTACGTGAGCAAGGGGCAATTTTCCAAAAACAGATAGGCCGCTTATCTAATCATAAGTTCAAGGAGAGTCTACAAATGTTAATTTCATAATGTGAATAGATCGAACGATCAATTTAATAACTTTTTAATCTTAACAATATGAACAGGAAAGATTGATTAAGAACATCAAACTTGCACATTAAACAGTATTTTAAAGTAACTAAAAATATTGATGAGCAAATGAATAAATAAATTGTCAATTTCACAAACATCGAAAGTCAGAAGGACTTAATTGGCAAGTTTACCGGGCCGGGTATTCCAAATCAAAATCGCACCTCACACACAAACCTTCCGCCACTCTCTCGGTAGTAGGAGCAAATTTGAAGAAATTATCTTTTTAACTGTTGTATAGAAAGGTCTACATAGATCTAGGCCTAACTAATGAAATAAGATGTAAAAATGTCCTTATAGACATTCGACAGCTGAAAGTGACACGCTCAGCTCAGTTGCGTAACGTGCATTCACGAAACCAAAATCGTTCCTCGCACACACACTCTCGCCACTTTTGGTGGGAAGCTGTCGGGCTGGAAGTTTGCCAGCGAAACCGATGCACCCTCGGAATTTTACCGGGACTCGAAACGTTCGTCTTGGGAAGCTGGCGGGGTAGCTTTTTGAAGCGAGGTCGGCTGGTGGCAAAATGAGAGTAACTACGATCGAGAACATCGTAGGTGTTCTTAACTTATTAATAAGATAATTCTAAATTCTATTTGAGATAAAATAATAAACTAGGCCTACAAACAAACCTCGACAGATCTCTAATGACTATTTGAATGCTTGTTTATTTCTCCATTTGACGATTTGTTTTCTTGATCCTGGCCTTCGATTTGTACGTACGTGCGTGCGTCAACAGCATGCACCATATGCATATCATGCGATCGCATAATATGAACGTACGTACGTACGTGCGCTAGCGCATTGCCTATATAATAACAAAGGGCGCATTTTCACGGCACTTGCGCCTTATTAAAGCACTAAATACGAAGCTAGAAGAGAGCTCGTGGGCGGCAAACTGTTCGTGATTCGTGTATTTTTACTGTTCTAATAATTTATGGCCGCATTTTCACGGAAAACACTTGCGCCTTGCCGTCTAGTTTTAGATGATTATGGGCGCAATTGGTGGTTTTATGTGCGCAAATTTAAAATAAAAAGGGCACGTCCAGTTGGAAAAAAAGGCACGTCGGCCAGTTTGAAAAAAAGGGCACGGCCTTTTTGGCCGTGAATATATCTTTTTTTGGGAGGGCACCGCGGCCAGTCATAGGGGCATCGACGGCCTGGCCGTCGATGGCCGTCGATTAATTTAAGGCCTGAGTTTAGAACTCGTCTAACTTCTTGTACCAAAATTGCGAAAACAAATTGCAACTAATTTTTTTTTTTTTTTAATGTTTATATGAGTCAATCATGGTCGCTATTCTGTCTGTATCTCGGTATCTTCTCCCGGTTCGGAGGTTGATTGCAACATCTCTCAATTTCACTCTATCTTCTGCCATTCTGGTGCAATCTTGCAGTTTTAGTCCACTCCAGTTCTTGACATTCTTTTCCCAGTTGATTCTGGGTCTCCCTCTGGGTCTACTTCCTTCCACTCTTCCTTCCAATACATCTGTCAGCTATTCTGTCACTAGGGTTCAAATTCTTAAAATCTAAATTTTATTTGATAGGGCTATGTTGATTATATTGATCTTTTTCAAGGACGTCAGGACTTCATGATTTTATTTTCTATCCCTTTCTTGCTCCTAAGTTGACTTCTTGTTGCGTCCCTGTCTTTCTCTGATTATCTCTGTTCTTTCATTCTTCTCTTTTATATTTTATTTTTCACTACATTGTTCTCCTTCAATTGTTCTACTTTTAAACTTATCAAATCTATGTCAACCACACTTCCTCAATACTTCTTCTCAATCTTCCAGCAGTAGAAAACATCATATTCACATTAATCTGTATCAGCCCCTTCCCTTCTCATTCCCGAATCTTGAAAAATAGGCTGGCTTCAAATCCCTTCAATCCATTGCCCCATGCCTTTCAAAGAGTGCTTCACTTGACTTCTTCAAAAAACATCTGAAATCAAAAACCTACAAGTCTTCTTAATTTGTTCAATTCAATTCAATTCAATTTTATTTCACATCTCTTTGAAAACACATCAGAAGATATACAAACAAATCAGTATGAATTAAACAATATAAATATAACAACATTCAGTCACATGGTACTATGAAAGAAGGATGAAGGGTGGTGGATGTGAGGGATCAACAAAGGCCATTGGCCTGTCAAGGCTAATTTCCTATATTACCACACTTCCCTTTGGTGATAGACTTAGGGACAGACAGTTCCTTGTTTCTATTTTATTATTATTTATTTGTACCATTGTATCTCCAGTCAAGCTTCTCTCTATGGACTCAGGGATCGTAACGAGCAGTCAATGACTACCAGGAAGGAGTTGAGTAGCCCCACTCCCGGGCTGCCACCCCACCTGGAGTACCCCAATATCTTACCGAGCAGTAACACCAAGATGTACCTAGCCAGTCGTAGCCTGAGCATGAATGCTAGCGAACCATCGGTGGGCAGAGAGGACTCGGAGAGGACGTCCAGTGTGGGCGGGGGCAGGGTGATGCACCATGAAGCCAAGGGGCGAAGACCAGGGCCGGATATCGACAGATACGCTCTACCGCCTGAAGGTAAGTGCGCTAAACTAATCAGCGATAGTCTCTCATTGGAAGATATTTGGTTAACTTTGTGGAATTGTGATATACAGAGAATTAAATTTAAATATTTAATACATTAAACAATACTTAATACAGTGTGAGTCCAAAAAAAGTTTACACCTAGAAAATTGCTAATTATTTTAAAAATCATCAATGAACAGTAAATTATTATACATCTTATGAAAGATTGTTTTATCCCAAATCATTTGGTATCATTTTTGTGTGGCACGTGTTTACGCTTGGATGAACAGAAGGCACTGTTTGCGAGAGTGCAAAAATCAACTTGCGCCAAAGTTGCTTATGTGATGTTTAAATAAAACAATTGGGATTCGGTTATTAAATCGGTTTTTGCAGATCCAAATAACTTCCCTAACAAAATTAATCATGCTACACATAAAATATCGAATATCAAATATCAACAAATATTTGTGCGTGTGTGTGTGCGTGTGTGACTTTGCAACTGCAAAAAGCATATGCAATGCATTTCATTTGATACATTCAATTCATTCTCTCACTCCGCTAATCCCAACATAACACATGCTGTAGGCATCACTTTGGCGCAAGTCGATTTTAACACTCTCGCAAAGAATGCCTCTTGTTCATCCAAGCGTGAACACATACCACACAAAAATGATACCAAATGATTTGGGATAAAACACTCTTTCATAAGATGTATAATAATTTACTGTTCATAGATGATTATTGAAATAATCAGCAACTTTCTAGGTTTAAACTTTTTTTTGACTCGCACGGTAGTGAGGAGGCGCGATGGCTCAGTGGTAGAGCAGTGGTCTCGTAACCCTGGTTCAAAACCAAATCAATGCGTTCATGCCCTTTGGTAAGGCATTAATCCTCATTACCAAGGCTCTGAGAAAACTTCTTAAAAGTCAGGTAAACCTATCAAAAATTAAAATATTCAATACATAACGCCTTTGTGGTTATATACAAACATACATATTGGTATTTATTTAGCGCCTTTACATGAACATGCTCAAGGTGCTTTACATTTTAAAATACAAACATAATAGTTATATACTCTCCAAGTGCATTACACTCTAAAAAATGACAATTACAAAGAAAACAAATGAGTTTTTTTTAAATGTCTCTTGAATGATGCGACTGATGTATTTATGTATCCATATACATACATGTATATATGTGTACCATTATATAGCTGCAGTAAATTGAGATATGCTGACATGGTGTTCTAGATTTGGGCATAGTCGTTTTTCAACTCAAGAATTGCATGCTGCACAACATTTTGTTTGTGCCTTAGCACTTTTGATTCCGGTACATCCTTTGATGTTAATAGCTTTCTGAAGAATCAAGTCCTAATTTATCAGAGGTGTGGGTACAGTGAATATTAATTCCTTTTTGATATTAACAGGACCATGTTGAAAAACAGTATACCTAGGGGGAGTTTCATAAAGCTGTTTGTAAAGTTACGCATGACTTTACGAACAACTCTTACATTATATGAAGTGCCAGATAAGATGCCCAAAGTTTTTTCTGATATATTCAATAACCTCAATTAAATTATACTTTGCATTAAAAATGTTTGTTATCATAAGTATGTTAATCTACATCTGCACAGTTCAATTTAATTGATGTATTTAATAATGATTGAGCATCCCATTTGGCTTTTCATATACAAGTTGTTCGTAAAGTCATGCCTAACTTTACGAACAGCTTTATGAAACACCCCCCAGAACATATTATCCTGTATAAAGATGTTTTAATAAATAAATAAATTAAATAAATACATTTTTTTCCTTCACAGAAGGGTACTTTTATGAGAGGAGGATGCCATCCAATGAAGCTCCTGCCGCCTATGGTGGCCAGGCGCCTTCACCTCATCCACCACCCCAACCCCACATCCTGGTGCCCACCATGCCGCCGCCACCCCAAGGCGACCCCTATGACCGCAAGCCGGACAAGCACCCTTACCCCTACCACGCCCCCTCCGGTGGTGGTTACCTGTACCCTGAGTCCCAGGTGATGCCCCAGACTCCACCGCCGGAGCCGCCGAGGCAGTACCGCAGACCGGTGGTGCAGCGCTACGTTGATCCTCACACCATGAAGGCGTATGATGTGGTGCCTGTGGATGACTATGTTGAGCCCTCAGCTCCGCCCCCATCGTTGTTGCCGAGCCAGAGGTACAAGCCACAACCCATGTGAGTAGATATTCTATTATGCACTATAAAGTGGTTAGAGAACAAGAGATTAATTTTCCCTCATTTTCCATTTACTGTAGAATGTGCAAGTAGTTTGTATTCCTACGCAAAGTGTTTTCTGAGAATTCTGATAATTGATAAGTAGTTTTATATTCGTTTGGGGTTGACTTGATCAGTTTTAGTCATGAAAGTATAATATGGGATTCCAAGCAATCCGGGTTTTGAAAAGGGCCTCCCCTCGCCCCCCCCCCCCCCCACTACTTAGTGCAGTAAAGGTATAACATGGAGAGAACCTTCGGCTCATTTTTTTACATTTCACATGCAGGTATCATGGGGAGCCAGACTTCTACCCTCCGTACGACCAGCGAGGGCACAGGATCGCCGACATGAGACATTTACCACCAGTAGGCACACCACAGGGGAACCCCAGTCACCTCATCCCTGATGATAGCTCCAAGCGACCGGGGGGTAAATTACCAAGCCACAAGGTTGCAGTCTCACCACCCAAACCAAAGCCGCCTCTTAGATTGGAAAGAGTAAGTCATGTTTTATTTCGCTACAAATTTTTTGCTCTCTAAGCCATGTAATATCATAAATATTTGAGCTGGAGCACAAGAGTTTTAAAGGGTTTTGCATGCATTATCATTAATGAATGTGTTTTCATAAGAATATGTTGTTCAGCTATTTTAACTGCCAATGGGGCTATTTTTTCTTTGATGATTTTCTTTAGCAGTGTCAAAATCAATAAGGTTTTATCTGAACAAAACTAACAAAAAAAGATTGTTTGTCAAAACTTTTGCTCTGTCATAGACTTGTTTATGATGTAGTCTTTTAAAAAGCTATACTTTAGTTAATCCAGTGGAGAAATAAAGAGTACTCTTATAGTAAAAAGTAACTCTCAATTCATCAAGCTAGATGTAAATACGACATATTTTGTAATGTTACTTGGCAGCAAGGTACTTATGACTTTTTTGTTTTGTTTGGGGTACACATGAAGGGGTCAGTGACACAAAGACGTAACTCCATTTTGAATATTTTGAGAAAAAGTGGTTTATGTGCCACTGAGCACTTGGGCCTTCAGGAGTTGAGTCTAAGTTTCACTAGCCAGTGACTTCAATGGGGTGTTGGGTGGAGTTAAGTCTTTGTGTTTCCTGGAAAGCCCACATTTTTCTGAACATTTTGATATCAAATACTCATTTTGGCAAAATATGAAGTTATGTCTTTGTGTCACTGAACCCTCGACATGGTTTTTTAAAATGGAATCTCTCTTGAATGTTTGTATTAGGGCCCGAGCCTGACAGAGTTGAAGGAACGTCAGACCTACCTGGTGACCAGGTTGGATGAGATCCAGGATGATACCGACACCAAGGATGATGAGCCTGTCACCTCCACCCCATGGAGTAGGCCCGCCACCTCCAGCTCCACCAATCCCCCCACCAGCCTGTGGGCTCACATGGCTGATACCCAGCCATCATGGACAACGTCCAGCAGTAGAGCCCTGTCAGATAGCCTCTGGGGAACGTCCACAGAATCAAAGGAAGCCATATCATCAACAGGCCTAAGCTTTAGTTTCACAGGCATTGAAGATGAGGAGGAGGAGGAGGACATCGACCACCGGAAGAATGGTATAGATGTTGATGCAGAGGAGGAGATAGAGACTTCCAAGTTTACAGATGACGATGAGACTACTGATCAGGCGGATAGGTCGGACAGTGAAGTAGGAAGCTATAATCCTTGGACGAGCACGTCTCTGTTCATGCCTAACACGGGGAAAGCGGTTAAAGAGACGGCGACCAACTACACGATGACTTATAGCAAGGTGTTGGTCCGTCATGTCTCGGCCAACGAGGATGACCCGTCGCAGAGGACACCTCATGGCTCGCACCAGATGGGAGACTATGAGAAGATGTCCATGCATGAGCTGGAGAGAACCTTGAAGGAGGTGGGGCAGCAGGACCAGAGGGCCGGCAGCAGTCACTTTGAGCGGGGACACAAGATCCAGATTGAGATGGGGCGTCGAGAAGAGGACGGTCCCACCCCTTCGCCCCACTTCTCGAGCAACTCCGTTCCCCTGCCAGCCCAGCTTGTCAGCAAGGAACCCATCCTGCATATGTACACCAAGTACCCCCATGCAGGGGCTCTGGCGGCTTCGTATGGACCGGTATCTGGCTCAGCCAGAGCTCTGGGCAGCAACACAGGCCCTCTTAAGGTGAGCGCTGGCATGGTTGAGAATACGATGCCAGTCAACATGACACAACAGGATTGTCAAGTGGCTCCAGGGTTCCAGACCCCCGAGGGTGATGGCTACTACATCAAGACACCCAAAGCACCTTCAGCTGAACTTGAAGCTACAATTCTCAAAGAGTGAGTACAAAACTTCAATCACTTATTATGAGAAGATACCACCATCCTACCTGAAATGGTTTTCCGGTTAGGTCAAAGGTCAAAGGCATATGGCTAGCAAAACATATTCCAAGGGTATATGAAAGTAATTTCTTCAGACTTCCGTCATGTGGGCTGTTGTTACATGTACATGTAGAAGAAAGAGGTACTTGCCTTACTATTATTTTGGTTGAAGGTCAAAGATCAAAGGTTACAGTTGTGTAAGATCTACACATGTAAATTCTGTTAAGGTCAAAACTGAGAGTAATTAAAAAATGGTAAAGCCTTTGATTTTGAATTGTTAGGTAAACAACCGAGAAAAAAAACAGCCACATACTTTAAACATGTAAACGAATGGCAACTTCCGTGCAATAAAGGTTTTGTGCGTATTCCTCTGTTAAGTTATTAAGTTATTGAGCCAAACCACAAAATGTGGAATGATTGCCTCAAAAGGGTTAAAAAGAAACACAGTGGTTTTGCTGCGTCATATCTGACCAAGTTTTTTGTTTTGTGTGTTTTGACAGTGACTGGGAGACCACTGTAGAGAAGCTTGTTGAGTGTGATCCACAAGCACAGGAGAAACTGAAACAAGCCCTGAGCCAGGTTAGGACCAGGATCCAGGCCAAGGAGACTGCAAAGGTAGGTCCAAAACAAATTTGCTAACCTTGGATAGCGGAACCTTGGAACTTGGGCAATGTTTTTATTCCATATATGTGGATATTTTGGGATGTTTGTATGCTATCTACGAACTGGTCTCAACATAAATGTTTCTGTTCTTTTCAGCATGCCCACAACACATTTATAATAGACTTTGAAGAGAAGATACTGGAGAACATGAACTGTGAGAAAGACCACCGGCCTGTCGTCGACTGTAGTCATGGCGACTGTAGTCATGGCGGTAACCATGTAACACACCAGGTCAAACCTCCTCAGGTAAATTACCATTCCAATATTGAATTGAATTAAATTGAATTGAATTGAAATGAATTGAATTGGTTTATTAAAAACAACATTACATGCAGCTCTAGACTGATATTATCTGTTTCGTAAAATAATCAGGTATTTATATTATGATACAAACATCACTCCTTTGGGCGCTTGACTCTGAATATTTGAAGATCAGAGGTTCAAATCCGGTAAATTATTTATATCCTCAAACAGAGCATGTATTTTCATTGCTTTTCTCTACCAAGCCCAGATGAATAAATAGGTATCCATTTGCGGGCAGACATCATTTAGAATAGGAATGTTTCTACATGTCGTTATCAAATGGAGAATGGCTTGAATGCAATGGAGTGGAGTGGAAAATCAGCAGATGCCTGATTGTAATTGAATTCAATGAACAAGATGATAAATTCACCATAGAAATGTTTTGATTATAAATTGCAAATTGTCAGAGCATTGTACAGTCAAACCTGTCTACATCGACCGCGCAAAGGAAACACAAAAAATGATCTTTGTAGACAGGTGGTCTTTGTAGACAGGTTCCTTTTAATAGTACATGTTTCAATGGGAAACCATTTTCAAGGGAAACAAAAAATGTGCTTGTTGTAGACAGGTGGTCACTAAAGCAGGTTTGACTGTATCACAATCCTTTTTTTCTTCACTTCTAGCAGAATGTTTCAGTCCAACAGCCTGAAAACAGGGCTGTTCAGATGCAGGAGTCTGGGCTCTCCCGCTACGCCCGCCAGCCCGATCCTCACCACGTCCGCCAGCCTGACCCTCACCCCAGGGACCCCAGGGACCCCAGGGACTCTCATTGGATGCCGCAGCGCGGGGGCAGTCCAGGCCACGCCCCAGGTTACCAGTACGTTGAACCCCACCCCCATATGGATGGGTACACCAGCCCCAAGACTCCTTACCCTCGCCTGGTCCCTGCGGGCAGCAGACAGACCAGATATGGCCCCCCTCCTCCTGGACCCGCTAGCCATGTACAAGTAGAACGCCAAGGGATACATGCCTCCAAACGCCAGATGGTAAGTCTGAATTTATTTATTTTTGTTCTTCATATGACAGTAAGTGCATCATATGACTTTGAGGGGTCAGTGACACAAAGACGTAACTCCATATTTGCCAAAATGAGTATTTTGATATAAAAATGTTCAGAAAAATGTGGGCTTTTCAGGAAACACAAAGACTTAACTCTACCCAACACCCCATTGAAGTCAATGGCTAGTGAAACATAGACTTAACTCCTTAAGGCCCCAGTGCTCAGTGACACATAAACCACCTTTGCTCAAAATGGCCAAAATGGAGTTATACCTCTTTGTGTCACTGACCCCTTGATTTGATAAAAGTTAATCGGTGATAATGTGACATGAATCAATGCTGTTTAAAATCTGCCCCCCCCCCCCTTCCCTTAAAAAGGTATAATTTTGTTCAAGGTTCTGGTGAGTTTGTGACACATTGGTTGGTCATACCAAGTGCAGGGACTTCAGGAAGAGAAACACTGCTGTTCAGTTCACCCACACTAAAGGCCCATTTAGATATGATGCAGTCAACCACTGTCCCAAAACAAAGGTTAAAGGTATAAATGAATGGCACTTGTGCACAACAAAGGTTCTACGTATATTCACCGAGCTCTCTGTTACAAGAAAGGAAATGTGAATCGTATAACACCTTAAGTCTTCTCTTGAGGAGGCGCGATAGCTCAGTTGGTAGAGCAGTGGTCTCGTAATCCGGTGACCCGGGTTCGAAACCAAGTCGATGCGCTAGTGCCCTTTGGTAAGGCATTAATCCTCATTACCAGGTCCCTCGGAGAGGACCGTCGGCCGTCTGGTTGCTTACTTACAAGCATTTATGCTTTCTTAGCAGTCAGGTAAAATAATCACCACCACCACAAAGTAAAACGACACAGTTTCGCCGCTTCTTATCTGATCAAAGCATAATTGTGATAAATAATGTTGATGCATACTTACAGTATGATTGTCTTACCACTTCATAGGTCGGCCAATAAATGTTCTTTTCCTTTTTTGGTCCACGTTTGACTTGCAGGAGGCAGCAGACCTCCAGTATGCCAAACAGGTGCAGGACAAGGAGCGTGAGGAGTACCTGAGGCACCTGGAGGATGTCCAGAGGAGGCACGACCAGATGGACCGTATGGAGCAGCAGAAGCGGACCCAGGAGGAGCGGGACAGGAAGATCGCCAGGGAGCTTGCCATGAGGGAGGCCATGTACAATAATTACCCCTAGTGGTGGAGCTTAGATGCTGGAGGAGGGCAACGTTACCCCCCCCCCCCCCCCACTACCTAAGAAAGTGCAGCAGAGATGGAGGAAGTTGTAGCTGTTGCTGTAGTAGCGTTATAAAACAGCTACTGTAATGCTGTCAGTTTTGTCACTTTTATTATACAGCATGATGCAGAACTGATATAATATTAAGTGATTCAATATGTTAATTTGTGATGTTCCTTAATTATGTACACATATGGTATACATGTAATGTAAGGAAGAAGATTTTGTAGTGCATAATCTTTCCTGGTTGCTTTTTAGAGTTAGATATTGCTAAGATTATTTACATTTATCTGATAGTGTTAACAGTCTATACCAGTGAACTTCAAAATGATATTGTCAAATATATCTTCTGTATTTCACTGTTTGTATGCTTTTTGACAATCGTATATATTTGGAGGATTGTATGGAAGGGAGAAAAGGATATGTGTGGATATGAAAAATATTGTTCACTCCAGGCTATGAGATATAGTTATCTACATGTACCAACCCAAATGTTAGTTACATATAATTATACTGCATAAGCAGCTATTTTCGCAGGGGGTTTATTTTCATGAATTTCACAAATTGCTCATTGATGGCGAATTTAACAACACGCGAATATTTCCAGCAAGTATTATGTTGCATGTCGAACTAGCTGAAGAAAGCCCCTTCACTTGTAGCGTACGGCATCTATAGACTATGGACTATACACTATAGCCATCACAGGGTCATCCAGCGAAGTTTAAGACTACAAGGATCGTAAGAGATCACTTCAATGGATTATTTTCATTTATTTCTCCCAAAATAATTCTTATGTAATGACGATTTGTGACACGCAGTAATGAGTTGATGATCCACGGAAATAGAATGATCATCATTAAAAAGTATAACATTGGTTATGGCTGCGGCTTTATGTGAAATAATGAGATTCAAATTTGTCTCTGAACCATAGATAAGCGAAAATATTGCCATATACAATAATTAAGGAAGCGAGGGAGAAGAGAGGACAGTGTGTGATGCCAAAATTATGTCATTTTGTAAATGGCTCTGGTCACTTCTGCAATCAAAGACACCTCTTTGTTGCTTTTTTTCCATTAATACGATTTTAGACATCTGAAAATTAAGCAGTATTAATGTTTAATACTATCCTTAATACCATCTTTACTCAAATCATGTTCAATTCCTTACTGGTACTTCAAATCATGTTTAGTTCCATTAAATTTAATGTCGGGTGAGAGGTACAAAAATAGGAATGGATCCTCTTTATAAATTCTAGGGGGTCTTTACTTCAGCCTAATATGAAATCATGAAGTTCAAGAAATCATTTGCATTTGTTTTAGAATCCAAATGACTCACATAACTTCCCCCACACAAGGAAAATTCAGGATCAAGTCTTCAAGTTGATAATGTTTGCTGAACAATTCTCAATTCCTGGCGTTTTTAATTTGAACTTGTACCAATACAGTTTGGGAGTGAGTGGAGGAACAATTTTTTATAGGTACCAGGCAAATTTACTGTGTAAAAAAGCTTCCAGTCTTTTCTGGTTGAAAAGTCTAACCTCCATTGATTCTTTTGTGAGTTGAAATTGGTTACCGGGTATTTATTTATTCCCATGAAGTGTAATTTGGGAGAAATTTAGTAGCACATCCACTGACATTTGGATTGCTAAGTGTATCTTACAAACTTTCACAGACGCCGGATGCGTATGGGGTTGGATTAGTTCAATAACTTTAATATGCCACTCAAATTATCTCCAGGTGCCACATTGTATTTATCATCAGATATACATAAACAAAGGCTTTACGACTACTAAACCGTTTCCAGTGCAGGATCAATCTATACTAATGTTAAAAGGGTTGTCATGGAGCTAATCAGACCTGAAATGGGTAATTTTGCAAAGCTATTGTGTTGCACAAAGCAATCCGTCCATCAATTGATGCTTATTGCTGGTGCAAAAGTGCATGTGTGGTAATCAAGCAACCATGCAGAAAAGCGAGGAAAGCAACCGAAGCGTTACAAAAGCAGCTGGTATTAATCAGCAGTTGTATGGATAGTTGTTTGAGGGACTCATGGAAAAGCATGAAGGTTGTCCAGTTTGAAAACAGTTCCCCTTTCATTTAAACATATTTTCCATGTGTACATGTAACTTGTTTTGACTAAGTATTTTGGACGTATCCAACCATATCTAGATTGGTTCTTTTACCGCTGTAAGTTAATGTTAATAACGTACATTTATTTTGTGTGTTACTGGGTATGTTCTCATTCTCTATTCTCTAAAATTTAATTTTTTTAAATATATTTCTAAAGTTATGCACCGTACTAGTTGAGTTGATTCACGACTTGGTATCCTCTTGGAACATTATATTTCTTATTGTCGCCTTCGATTTTTCAGAAAGCTACACAAAATGCAGGAGTTCCAATCAACTAAGCAGGTCATGCTTTTGTGACATGTACATGCATTCAACCATTGCATGTCATTCAGTAAATCATATTTCATCGTAATTTGAAATGTAATGATACATTATTTTAAATTCTTCTCTATTCCTAGATGGGACATTGTATGAATATACATGTATTGTGTAGAGTCATCACGTAAAGGATGCCCATTTTTGCGGTTCTTTAGATATTTATTAGCCTTTAGCGTTTAGGGTTTAATGTAACCTTATCATGTTATCAGTCTAAATGCACCTTATTGCTCTAGGAGTATTGCCCCCCACCCCCCCCCCCCCCCCCATTTTATTTATCAGATTAAAGCAGGGCACAAGTACAAGACACAGGCATAAGAAGGAATTACGTGTAATGTCTCCATTTGAAGAATACTCCTTGGTGAGGTTTCTTAAGATATTTATTCTGCCCTTTTAGCATTTTTAGCGGTCTAAATGCACCTTTATTACTCTAGGTGTATTATCCCTCCCCATTCTTTAAAAAAAAAATCAGATTAAAGGAGGCCACAAATTGTAGACATAATATTAACAGTACTGTCCTTTATATTAAAGGATTGTCATATCCTGTCATTTATGTGAAAATCACATTTTTTAAAAACTTGTCTATCCGTGACATCGGAAAGTAGTCAATTTGTTAATCTTTGGAGCAAAAACTGGGCAGCAGCTCACAAAACCATGAGTATTTGTACGAGTTCACCCTCGACTTATTGAAAAGCATGTGTTTATTTAACATGCGTTCCAATAGGATATCTGTGAACTTGTATGTAGGATAATTTCGTTAAAAATGATGCCCTGGTCTGTTACCCCCCCCCCCTTTCTGACTGTTAAAAAAAGTACAGAAAAAGTGAAAAGGAACAGAGTTCTGCCTGTATCGTGTAAGATGTCCATGTGCTTATGAAAAGAAAACTTAATTTTAGACTGAAGCAAGTTCACAAAGTAAACTTCAGATGATGGTCGAAAAAAGTTTGTTGAAATATTCTGTCATATGTTATGAGAGAATTTTTAAGGTTTCCTCGGTGAGAGGAAACCATTGGGAGTTGATATTTTCTGTTTTCTAGCAGCTGCTCTCCTCTTTAAGAAAAAATTGAACTTGAAGCAGTTCGTAACAGGAAAAGAAGGAGAGGGAAATTATTATTAAAAGAGCCATGTTGGGTCGCTATGTTTTGATAAAACATTTATGTGTACACTTTACAAGTCAGATTTAAAAAACTATGACCATTTAATTAGTTTGTGGGTGCCTTTATATATATCGGTAACTTTTCATTGTGTCGTGTGACACATAGAAGGGATGGAGTTATTTTTAACATTTTATTTATAGTGTAGTGGTTTGGTGGTAGGTTTTACTGTGTGAAATTGAAATCAATCGTGTCTTTATGTTTAAGTTGTGTAAATGTGGTGTAAACATGTATGTCTAGATGACTAGGCATTTAATATGTTGTTGATATAATTTTCAAATAATAGTGATAGCTAATGGTTTATGATATGAAGAAGGTTTCATTTTACATTAATGCGTATCATATGCATGCTGTGTACATATTGGCTGTGCCGCTACAAATAGTGATCAAGGTGTAGGTATATCGATGTAATTTCTGTAATGCATGTATCATCATTTTTCTCATTAAGTGTGTGTCCTGTAGGCTATACCAACAAATTGCACAATGTTTATTCTATAATTGATACTTTATCAATCTGTGTAGACTGACTTATTAGCATTGTAGCAATCTTATTCAAATATTTAGTAGTGTATTTTCATCTATATATCTGATGGCAGTATACTAGTAGTACACGATTTCGTATTCTCGTTACATATGCATTTATTTTTTAAACAACAAATACATTATTGAAAATGATATATATTTGTATTAATATCTTCACCTTTTGTTCTGGAAAAAAAAAATTTATTAAGAAAAGTAAGTTTAAGTTAAAATCCAAATATATCTATTAATCATTCATAGAAATTAAAACTTACATTTAAAATCATAAACCTTGATTATTCTAGAGATTAATTAAATGCTTTTTTTTCTTCTGTTTCTTCAAATAAATGCAACATTTTTTTGCTATGCTTTTATAATGTGGAAGATGGAGTGCAATGCTCTATGAGCTTTGATAACTCCCTGAACTTTTTAATACATATGCTATACCAGTAGGTGAAAATTATGTAATGAACAGAAAGAAGTGCACACAGCCATCATTTCTTTTTTGTAAAAAGCATTTAATAAGAGAAGTCTTAGTCTACAGATATTAATAATTATACTAATCTGGGTTTATATAGCACTTTAATTAATGGACGATGTCTCCAAGCGCTTTTACTCCAACTCTCAACTTGGGTTCTGTGCGCACCGTTCTATACAAGTGTGTACGCATGCGTCACTTAACTAGTCTACATAATGAGTCATTTTGCTGTTTACTGACAGTACATTTAAACTGTAGCATCTTTTTGGAGAAGTAATGATTTGAATTTCATATTCTGGATACAGTTTATCGACATGGAATCCCTTCATACACCAGGAGCAAAACCTGTTTAGGTGACTGGCGCACTTTGAACCCCTTGAAAAGATGTTTTTATAATGTTCCTTTTTTTTTCAGGTACCGGTACATGAAAGTGCTGAAAGAAATCTTTAAATTCCTTCTCTATTTGCCTATTCAAATGAAATTAGGGGCTGTTTGCAGACACAGTGTAGTTGCCTGTCAATATTATATAAATTATGAGTTTAGGCCCTAGGTCTCAATATCTTACCCAAACATTGTTTACAATTATTAGGGATTTTGTTCTCTTATAATAAGGGTGACTATTTTATTTCTCTACTTTTTTCAATTTGTATTTTGCATTTTTTTTTTTATCACCTTGTTTTGGTGTCGGCAACCACTTGACACTGCCTCCAAGGGCCAGCAAGACAAATAGATTGCTCTGAATTTTAATTTTAATACGTGGAAGGTTTATTATTTCTTCATAAAACCCTTTATGTCCATCCAGTTATCATTTTAACTAGGGAAATATGATTTACAAAGTACCTGTTAAGGCCTGTTCAGGTAAGATGCCAAAACAATACAAAAAACACTAGTTTTTTTAACATGTAAACGAATTGCAACTGTGCGCAACAAAGATCATGCGCATATTCACCGAGCTCTGTGTTATAGCATACAGACATGCAATGTGTATTACATTTTTCGTCATCTTAAAAAAAGAAAATCAGTGGTTTTGCCAACGTCATAGCTGAGCGAGGCCTTATGGATCTGAAACTTCATTTATATTTATAATTTATTCTCTAGAACCTTGCCCTTATACATGGTTTATAATAATTTGCATTTTGTTTACAATTATGATGCGAGACATCCGTATACTAGTGTGTTTATCATTCATATCATGAATTAGAAATGTCAGTGTGTGTGTTATCCAAATAAAATTTAATAGCCAGTTAATTGCGTCTATCATGTTATTTCAAAATGTATGTTGGAAGTGGTTGAGTAAATGTGATTTCTTTCTTTCATATCACTACTACTACAATGTATTAAAGAAAAAGATGGAGAGAGCATGATAGATATAAGAGGTGCACTATTTGAAAGGAACAAAGAGAAGAATTGAGATTTGATTGTCGATTCAAAACGGGTCATTTGGTGCTGCAAGGGGGAAGGGTCATTATTTGGTCACATGTAGAGGGAGAGAGGAAGTAAAGAGGAGGGGGAAGAGATAGAGAAGGAACAAAAACTCGCATACAGTCAACAGCCAAATTATTCATACACCTTGTAAAAAAAAAATTTGAGGGGGGGGGGGGGGTAAACAAATTTCGTAACTCAAGAACGAAGGGTACTGGTTGAATTAAGGCCTTTGTTTAACACTTTAAAGATGTAAGCTTTGATATGTCACATTCTCAAGAAACGTAAATTGGGGCAAATCAGTTTTTCAAAAACTTACTCAAGAACGAAGGGTACTGGTTGAATTAAGGCCTTTGTTTAACACTTTAAAGATGTAAGCTTTGATATGTCACATTCTCAAGAAACGTAAATTGGGGCAAATCAGTTTTTCAAAAACTTACAAAAATTGGAAGAGGTATGAATGATTTAGTTGTTTACTGTACTTTCAGAATAGACAAAGGTGAAACTGTCATGTTCAGTTGAGTACAAGAATTTTTATTACAAATTAAAATGTTCAACTCTTGGCACAATATTTTTCATTTTTTGCTCAATTTCCTTTTCACGCTGATCTCACCGATTTCATTCGCATAAATCATACAGAAATAATCATAAGCATGATCGGTGATCTTGACAATGTACTGTACATGGAAAATTAAAATTTGCTTCAAATTCAGAATATTGACAAGAAATTCAATTCACTAAAAGGAGGAGGAAAAATATTTGTTGACATACATTAAAAAAAAATTTGGCATGCCTGGATCTATACAAACTGTCATTTTGTACTCGTGTGCGATCAAACTGTTCACAACAAGAGATGTTTTGTAGCAAAATGAAATGGGGGAAAGAAACGTGTTAAATAGCCACAGGATGTTCTCCTTGTATCGAAAGTTATACATGTAATATACCGGTATACAAGATCGAATGGTATTCTATTTATGATTTCTGGTGAATTGAAGTAGTTAATATCAGCAAGGAATGCTAGATATTAATGGGTATATACACTCTTTATGCTCCATTGGGTCTTGGATTTAGACTGTAACAAATAAGAACAGTCTTCATAGGATTCACACATATGTGTAGTGTGGGTTGCCGTCATTAGAATTTACTTCCCAGGATGGTATCGAAATCATTTTTTAAAACTATTTTACTTGAGAGAAAAAATTCACAGCAGCTTTGAATTGCTAATACCTTCCTATTCATCATCTAAAATCTAAGAAATCTGATAAGTTTTTGAGGGCCTACGATAAACTGTACATCAACTTTGAAAGCTGGGATGGGAAACGTTGTTTTCATCAGAATTATTGATGTAACTTGTGCTTTATAATAAAGTTACCTGGATGTACAGGCAATATCAAAGTGTATGAAATACATGCAGTTTTACTTGTACGTCCAAATTCAAGTAGAGTATGCACAACATTTAGAAGATAAGCACTTTGCCATGCCTTACTTTGAAGAGAAGGTTGAGTTCTGGAAAAGGTGAAAATAATGTGTGTTTTTCTTTTTAAAGATTATGTGGAAGAGTATCATAGAAAAGATGTCCACTAAAAAGGATGGCTTTTCAAATGCCCTCATATTCAAAATATGACAAGTAACAGCTAAAGATCAAGGACCACAACTTTCATGCCACACGTTTGTGTAGTCCCAGATACACATTTCTGTGTGCTGTGCATGTGACGCGTAGCAAGACTGAATCAATTTCTTGTTATTTTGATGATTCCGAAACCTCATAGCATGCCCAGAACTCAACTTAGTCTTTAAGTAAAGTATAACATCCCGCCACCCCTTGCAAATAGATTTGAAAATTAACTGCAAGACATTGAAATAGGAGAGAAATAGAGAGAAAAATAAGATTCATGAAATTTCTTTACTCGGTTTAAATTGATTCTCTTCTGTGTGACACATATATACATGTAGCCTTGTCATGTTTTCTTTGACGATACAATGCAAATCTTCCAACTCATCCAATATGCTTAATAGAGTGAGTGCAATTTTATACAAATACTGCATGCTCTGACGTTCTATATTATAAAATAATAGGAACCGACAAATGATCTAGAATTTCCCGAGCAATGTTATGTTTCACCTAGGCCACAGGCAGAGATTGAAATATAATGGCATGAGGGAAATCCAGAATATTGTCGGTTTCTATATTTTGTTTTATTGAACGCGAGGGCGCAGACATGAGAATCCTTGTTTTTGCAATTTCAAAATGACGTCACCACCTTTTCTTTTGAAAATGACACTGTTCCACTGTTATCACTTAACTTTTTTTACATTTTCGGCACGCTAACTCTCCAGAGTGTAAGGAACGAGATGAGATCAGGCATTAGGAGAATACAAGAGAAAATTCTTGTCAAAATTTCAAGTGAAATTTTGGGTGCGCAAACATACAGCTCCCCTTCTGAAAAAGTCATTATGTAATGCTTGAAATTGACTATATGTAATACTGATTATTAATTGAAACTAAGATACATTAAATAAAACTAAGAAAATAGATCATGAATTGTCGTGTGTTACAATCATAACCTTTAAAAGAAAGATTTTGTGGGGGTTTGTCCCCCTTCCATTACTCATCACAGTTGTGTATTCCCAAACTTCCCAGCATCTCCTTCCGAATAATATCTAGTGAATCCAACATTCTCCAGCCATTTCCCTGTACCGTCTATATACAAGCCTCTGGTCGAAAAATGTGATGCACATAATTATACCGTGAAACCTGTCTATAAAGACCACCCAAGGGAGACAAGAAAAGTGGTCCTTATAGGCAGGTGGTCTTTATGTACAGGTTCCCATAGTACATGATCCAATGAGAAAACATTTTCAAGGGAAACAAAAAATGTGGTCTTTGTAGACTGGTGGTCTTTGTATACAGATTTACTGTACTAATATATATCGGGTCAGTGCATCATCTGATTTCATTAACATTATTAGGAATGTACTCTTGTGCCATTAATTCTTCTTCTTCTTCAAAATAATCTGCCTCCTTCACTGCTGAAGATTCTTGCAGATTGACCGTTGTCTTGCAGATTTCTCTCTAACAATACTTTAAACACGTTTTCCTCGAAATTGGAATTTTATGTATGTGCCAACTTTGCCCCTCTGGGGTTCATATGAATTTTTTTTGATATTCTGGACAGACACTCAAGGACTACCGTAGTGGATCAAGTTTTTGGGCAAAGCTCAACGTGACTTTCTGGGGAACTCATGTGGAAGGTATCAGTCTAATTAGACATTGAGGGTGTGTTCAGACACCAGGATTGTTCAATAATACCCTTTTGCATGTCCTATGTTCACTAGAGCAAGCAAGTTTTGTGAAACGCCCCCTGGTGTCCGTCCCTCCGACTCTGAGAGGCACTTCTCCGTCTCATCCTCAGTCTTGCAGGAGGAGCTTGCCCTTCTGCTGTAACCGCTTGACCTTCTTGGCCTTGCGGCCGTCCGTCTTGGCCTTGATGTTGGTCCTCTTCTTGGCGTCCTTGTGCTTCATCTTCTCCTCCAGCTTGGCCTTGCGCTCGTCCCACTGCTTCTTGCTCGCCTTCTTGCGCTGCTCCTTCCGCTTGATCGACTTCTTCAAGAGCTCCACATCGTCCTTGACCTGTAGGGGAGACAGACAGAGCAATCCTAATTTAAAGGCATCGTTTAACAATGTTAAATCTGAGATGCATGGCCCTACGTGTTATCAGTATCTGTGATATGGTGTAATATTAAAGCCCTAAACAAATTGCACTTCAAAATTATCAACAAGTGCCTCAAAAAAGTAAAAACCTTTGAGTGACCGGTTTTACCATACACATTTTCCCCAATAGACTGTAGTGTTAAAAAAAACGTTAAGAAAACAAATTCTAAATTTTTTAATTCCAATCATAGATATCTTGATAATCAGACAGGCGATCAGCTTGTAAAAGTCATGGGGTTACTGACTGACCTTAAGGTTTATAATTATTATTGCAGCATGAGCTAAATCCAGGATTTTGTTTCAGAATCTGAGACAAAGTTACCGGATCCCTTTAATAGTGCCGTTTTATGTCTGGGCCTCGTCTTATAAAGAGTTGCAATTGAAGTCCTTCAATCAATCGTAAGTTTGCGGTCGCCTATCTCTTATGAACATAGTTGCGATTAATATTGACTCTTTATAAGACAGAGCTCTAGTCAATTCAAAATGTTACAGAAGGACATTTCCAGAGAATGTCAGACATGTCCCTAAACCTGCACAAGACCTGGATATGATATATTAAGTTTATTAACTGATATGAGCCTTTGAGGTACTCCACAACAGTTTGGTTTTCGGGTTCTCAAAATGCTATACATAAAAGTTATATAAACACTAGATTAGATCACCGAACTAATTACAACTGCAAGTATAAACGAGGTATGTACTATATGAAATAACAAGCTGTATGGAATACTGTAGATGCTGAAACATTCACGGTACAATAAATTTTTCGCGGATTTCGCGATAAGATCAGAAAGCAAAAATTTGTTAACTCGCCACAATATAAACATGACTTCTTATGCACGTTTTGAACGGGCTGAATTGAGTGCAACGCAAATTTGTTTCGGGCTCGCTCAAAAAAAATGAATCACTCAAAAATAACAGCGTTTACAGTATTAAACAAGCCATTTATGATGATTGCATTGCAAGCCCTTCTAGAGCTTGGAGAAGACAAAGTATCAAGTTTTGTCTACACATAAATCCAAGACCTTGTTATGCCTTATACACCAGCTCGTAGTCTAAGATCATCACACCAGCATCTTCTTAAGATCCCCAAGACGAGAGTAGCCTGTAGTGAAAGAGCTTTTTCAGCTGCAGCACTTTCACTTTGGAATAATTTACCATTGAGAGACCTTTAAATCCAAGCTGAAATCTCATCTTTTTTAACAATGCCTGTACCTGGCACTGTACCTGGCACTATATGACACTCATCCAAACTCTTTTAATCTTTCTATTTTTCTTGTGCGCCTCGGAATAGAATTGTCTTGATAGACGGCGCTAAATAAATGCCTATTATTATTATTATTATTATTATTATTAAGAAGCACTGACCTTGATTCCCTGAGCTTTATCGATGACCGTCTGCCACTTGCCCTCCGTCTCCACCTCCTGGGCTTTGTCTGGATCCTTCTCCTTCATCTCCGCCATCTTCTGCTCCTTCAGCTCCGCCTTCTTCAGGAGCCGACCAAAGTCCTTGTTACTCCTCGGCTCCGTCAACTTCTTCCTCTTCTTCTTCTTCGGCTGCTCCCGCTCGCTCTCTGCAAAGTCAAACTGACTGAACCGCACGGCCGCTTCGTCGTCCCCGCCGGCCACTTTCTGCCCCCCTTTTCCACCCTTGGCGGATTTCTTGTCGCTCTTTTTAGTTCTTTGAGGGGTGGTACCGTCATCGCCAGAATCATCACTGTCATTGTGAATGTCTCCATTAACCATCTGTTTCTGTTTGGCTTTCTCTGAAACTTCTAACTGTGCTTTAGAAGCTTTAATTGCTTTATAAGCTTCTGCTTTCTTCTTCTTCTCCTTTTCCGCTTCTTTCCGAGCAATTTTCTTAGGTACCATATCCTCCATCAGTGGAGCCCTGGCTTTTCGTTTTGTTCGAAGTTCTTCGATTCTCTTTTGAACCTTTTCTCTGAGTTCATCGATAGTGGCACCACTTGAAACAGATTCAACACTCATGGGTTTTATCCGCGACGAGACAGCTGGTGATTTTGAGTCATCTTCAGCACCTAATATAAAGCATAAACATTAATATACATTATTTATCATATTATATTTCTGATCAACGGCATATTTACCTTTCCCTCAAAGTTATAACCTTATTTTTCGAGACAGATCTTCCAAAATTGCATTTATGAGCTACAACATTAAGTACAATACACTTTTTCTTTTCTTTTTCCCGACTGCTACATGTAATAAAGTATGTATATGCATGTAAGAAAGCAACCAGGGAACCAATGGCTTTAATTCCTCTCTGAGGGTCTTGGTAATGAGGATCAATACCAAAGGGCACTAGTGCCTCAACTTGGTTTCTAACATGGGACCTCCCAGTTACGAGACCACTGCTCTACCACTGAGCCATCACGCCCCCTGACTTTAACTTTTCAACACCCCAATACAAGGCATAATGATATTACATGTAACATCCCCTTGCATTAAGAACATGTCCCAGATTATTTTATTGGAATGTTTAGGGCTTGTTCACATACACAGGGATAAACAGTGAATATTTACCATGATTTTGAGATACAATTTATTATCAACGTGTAATAGTAACAAGTATCACTTCATAACGTTATAGATAATGCTCAGAGGCAGATCTCGTGTGTAACTTGAGTGTTAACATTTGGTAAACTTTCTGTTTTACCTTCTCCAGAAAATTTAAACCACTGACAACAGGAGCCACCGGGGGGATGTTTTATAAAACTGAGCATAAAGTTACCCATGACTTTACAAATGACTTGAATATGAAGAGCTAAATGGGATTCTCAACTCCTTTTAATTGCATAAGCTAAAGTTGAAATATGCAGATGAAGATTAACCTTATCCTTATTAACAAAACATTTTAATGCAAAGTGTATTTTTGGCTACAATTTAATTGAGATTATGGGAAATACAGTCAACACTTTGTTTGAAATGTCAGGAAAAACTTTGGACATCCCATTTGGCTCTTCATATTCAAATCATTTGTAAAGTCATTCGTAACTTTACGCACAGCTTTAGGAAAACACCTCCCAGGTTCCTGTATAAAAGCCTATGGGAATGGAACACTTCAGGAGTGAATGGCTTAAAAGCATGTCTCAGAGGAAATACAAGGTATACATTTGCTAACAAATTTATCGCATTCGTACCACTGTCATCAGAAAGGTCTTCTAGTCCCGTTCCCACGGCGTCGCTCTCGGACTCGTCCTCCGACTTCTCTCTCCACAACCGGCTAGAGGTCGCCACCCCGTCTTTCCCCGAGATCTGACCTTTGTCCATCCCCTCCTGGATCTGGGTCACACTGCGCTGCTTGTCGGGGTCCAAGCGCTGTCGTTTGTTGCTGGTCTTCTTCTTAGACTTGTCCTTGAGTTGCTGTTTGGGAGCTTTCTCTGCAGGAATATAATATACAGGTTTTAATGTGATCCAACGTCATAGAGCGTTCTCCTGGGGCTGTAACTTGAAAAGCTATATTTCAAAGGATGGACTATAATGTATGGTGTGTAGTCTAATATGAAAAAGAATCGCAATACGGCAAGTTCATTTCAAAAATCTGAAAGGTGTTCATTTCATTCAGAAAACCTTCCAGTATTGTATGCCTAACTGCATGGGCAAGAACAGTTTTATTTTATTATCTTTTCCAATCATGTTTAAAGATGAAGTTGAGTTCTGGTCATGCGATTGCATTGTAAAAGAAACGGTGTGGAATCGACCAGAAAAGGTTGATCATCTAGCATATAAGAATCTGTGTGTGTTGCAAGGTTCTGGAATCATCAAAATGATAAGAAATTTGGCCGAGTCTTGGTAAGTTACAAACACTGTACACAGAAAGATGTATATGGGACTACACAAACACGTGGCGTAAAAATCCTACCCCCCGAGTTTACATGTTACATGACATATTTCGAATATGAAGGCATTCGAAGAGCCATGCTTTTCAGGGAACATGTCTTATCTGATGTTCTTCCACACTTGCATAATAAGAATGATAACGCTCACAAATTATTTTTCACCTCTTCCCAGAACTCAACCTTCTCTTTAAGAGAAAAGATAAGCAGATGGAATAATGAAGGAAAAACTTTGATAGCGCTGCACTCAACCAGTCACCTGTATTTAACCCAAAAAGTCTTGTTTATTATCCAATTGTGACTTGTGCAGTGCATCTTCGCTTACACTCACAAACATTAAAGCCCCACTGCACTACTTACAGCTACTTGCGCCCTCTATATAGCAAACAATGCCTTTTCTATGCTAATCGAGAGCTGATTCGATGAGATAACCACCTGTCAGTGACCTTGCAGGGAGGTCTAACCCCCCTGGCCAAACTAGTGCAGACAGGCTTTAATTATTTGTGTACTCACCTTTTGCATTGTGGTGGAACTTGCCGGTGCCTGCCGGGCCTTGCTTGATTTCTTGCTCAAAGTAATACCTAGCAGGTATCAGATCAGTCATACTCTTGAAGAAGTCATTGTGCAGTTGAAGACTGCTCATAAGGTCTGCGCTATCCATCTCCATGATCACGGATGATTAGTCTACCACTGCAAAGAGTGGAATTATGGGAGAAGATAAGATTATTAAGAACATTTCAAGTATAATATTCAAGAATCAAGTCCGTAGCGCTGTGATTTCATATTTTCAAATTTGGGTTTGCTCATTACTGCATTAGCGCGCGATACACCCCTTTTCTAATTTTGAACGTAATCCAGCGACAAAGAAATTGAGCCGTCTGGAGCAAAATGTCTCATCATACTCATAATGGAGTTATTCTTACCAATTCTTAATTCTTGCATCTTGGAGGCTCTTTTTCAATGTGGAGTCTACTAGTTTGCCCATTTCAATTATATCAACTTTGTCTTTAATTTACTAGATATAAAAAATAAAGTGGATTTTTGCAAAGAAGATCTTGCCCTTGCTACTTTTGCTGATATTTGATGACGATAACAAGATTAACTTCAAACTAAAACTCAGACTCCCGTGCCAGGTTTTCATGCAGGCTGAGTCTCAACAACTGCTCACATAGCCCTTCTCGGTTCAGCATATTACTCACTCATGTACACACTCCAGCTCTTTTCAGCAACAGAAGCAAAGAGCAATCGCACCATAAAACAGAATGGTAGCAACCAACCACCACTACATTATAGACCTTGTTCAATCAAGCCTCATCCTACTAACAACCGCATAAAAACAACAAATATTTTATAAGGGACACTGAGTGTACGCGGAATACAGTCCAACCTGAGATATGCCCATCAAGTTGCCAGTAAGCAAGACTGATATCCTCTTTATTCAAGAACACTGGCTTAATACAAACAGACTACAGTTGCTGAATAACAATAGCAGCCAACACTTAGTAACAGCTAAAGCAGCAGATTGCATCAGCTATACCAATGCCATACGAGCAGGAGCAGGACGAGGAAAAGGAGGGGTAGCAACACTACTCCGTCAAACGCTGGTTGCCAGCTACTGTGAAATCCCCTGCCACTCTATTATCAGGATCAACATAGTTTGACTTCCAATACACCTTCAACAGTCAAAACAGTGCATCCTGGCCATAAACTGCTACCTACCATCAGGCGTCAGCCAAACTGATCTTGTAGAATACCAGGAGAGCCTTGCAGATCGGATGATGGTGCAAAGCAAAGACGCGCATCGTTTTTTTTATAGATGGCTTCCTACGCTTAAAGATGAAGTTGAGTTGTGGCCATGCGATTGCATTATGAAAGAAACGGTGTGGAACCGACCAGAAAAGGTTGGGGTCATTCTATATCAAATCACCCAATGGTTTTAACCCGACCATTTTTTATTTTGATGAAACTTAGTGTACTTGTTGAGTGTGATCTCACAGCACCAAATCCCAAATTTTAGGTCAATCGGGTGAGGGGTTTGGGAGATACGGCCCACCAAATTTTGAGATTTTTTCAAAAATGGGGGTGGCGGGCCTAACTTTGAACCCTTGTATTTCGGGACCTAATGGGTCAATCTTCACAAAAATTGTATTGTTGGAAAGGGTATTCAATAAGGATTCCAAATCTGCGGCCATTTTGAAAATTCGTACATGTTGGGGTACTTTGACCTCTTGACCTAAGATTTGACCTTAAAATTGACCTTGTGGATTGCGTGACCTTGACAATATTTTTCATGAAATGTAATCTCTGACATGTTCACTAAAACATATACAAGTTTCAGAGATATAATATTTTTTGTTTAGGAGCAATAAGGATTGAAAGTATCGATACTTACAGATATTCACAATAAACCCTATTATAATGTATACAATACATGCACTATGCACAATACAACATACATCTTCCACATGCTTTTTTGTTATATGCATATCCATTCTAAATGTCAGCAGTACTTGAATAGAAATAAAATGAGAAGTTCATATAGGCCTAAAGGGTTAACAGGATGTATGGCTTTAGGCCTCTGAGTCAGTTCTAGGATAATTACCCCCCTGGATTTGGTGCTGTGAGATCACACTCAACAAGTACACTAAGTTTCATCAAAATCAAAAATGGTCGGGTTAAGATTTTCAGATTTTTTGGGTGATTTGACATGGAATGACCCGTTGATCATCTAGCATATAAGAATGTGTGTGTATTGCAAGGTTTTGGAATCATCTAAATGATAAGAAATTTGGCCAAGTCTTGGTAAAGTTACAAACGCTTGCACAGAAAGATGTATATGGGACTACACAAACACGTGGCGTAAAAAGCCGGCCCCCCGATTTTTACGATGTGACATGCATATTTAGAATATGAAGGCATTTGAAGAGCCATGCTTTTCAGGGAACATGTCTTAACTGATGTTCTTCCACACTTGCATAATAAGAATGAGTAATGCTCACGAATTATTTTTCACCTCTTCCCAGAAGAACTCAACCTTCTCTTTAATTCATCACTCCACCAGTTTGCTGATCTCACCATTGGCACCGACACACCTCTGAACACTTCGGATCACCTGCTGTTAAGAATCGAATGGTCTACAGTGATACCATGTAACTCAAGGATTTTAGTACACAAAACTGAGTGTGCGATCAGACACCCTACTGGTAGCTGCTGATGTTCGAAAGAGCGGAGGATGCCAGAAGATTGCTCCGAAGTCAGAGTCCGAGCACGTCCGTTTACGAATAGCGTTGCACCTTCACCTGGCTCTTGTAAGCACACACACACACTCATCAGAATCTTCAACTGTGAAGGAGGTAGACTTAACCAGTGTTAACCCAAACCGCCAAAGAAAAAAAAAAACTCCATCCCCATCATCACCATGCACGACAAACATAAATTGGAATAGATGGGACTGTGACAAATAATCGTGCATACATTTCTCTTTCAGAAAAACGATAAACAGATCTACCAGTATCATTAATATGTTTCAAATGAATAATATAATTACCATTAGATGTTAATTATGTCTTAAAAATACAAATCTGCATTATATCTGGCCAGCATTAGTCTCTTCTTCACGGGCCTGCTTTCCATCATAACACGCTACGAAACACCTATCGAACACGTTTTACAGGTCTCTGAAAAGTCCTCACAGTATGCATGGGTACCGTACGTACGTCCGTAGCATGATGAGCGCGCGCTCGGAGGGGCAGCTCAAGCGGACATTGCATGCTGTGTGTGAAATGAAGAAAAGGGACTCGAAAGGTTTACACGTTCGCCATAATAGACTAACCACATGAAAACATGCCTCCTCATTTTTCCAAAATGATATCTCACAGGGATGGAGCCCGGGGATGGAGAGTTCGAAAAACATTTCCAAACCTTTGTTTTTAATTAATGTCAACTTAAATTCCAGGGATTATGCATTATATCGAGTCTCCCCTTTGGTAATTACCAGGGAGTCCAATTCCACTTTTCCTGGAAATTACGTAATTTAAAATATGACTTACATAAAAATGAACGTTGTGAACAAGATAAACGAAGACTCCAAAAGTAGAAGAGATCCATATCCAGGCCCGTAACCAGGGGGCGGTGGGGCAGTCGCCTCCCCCCCCCCCAAAAAAAAAACCCGCCGGCCAAAAGAGAGAGAGAGAGAGAGAGAGAGAGAGACTGAGAGAGAAGAGAGAAAAAAGGAAGAGGACGTATATGAAGAAAAAGGAGCAGACAAAGAAACATTTTTGAAAATTCAGACAAGGATTAAGAGTCGAGAACAAAATACAACGAATCGTCTTCTTTCTTATAATCTAATTACGATTTCAGGGACCCCCCCCCCCCCCCCAAAAAAAAAAAAAAAAAATTCTAGCTATACGTGGGTGAAGAGTTCCCGCAAGCGTCCTTTTGGCATTTAAAAGCTAAGTCCACTCCAAAAATAATTTGCTTTTAATAGATGCAGAAAAACAAGAGAAACAGAGCGAACAAAAATGAGTAAAATTGGATAGCTAATAAGGAAGTTATGTAATTGTTGCTTTTTTAATTATGAAAAAGCACGTAACTCAGAAATTCACTACACAAATTTCCTAATTGGTTTAAGTTTGTGATGTTATTGCCTCACTATTTATCAATTGCTTTATATATTTTTATCCCATTAATTTCACTTTTTATCCGATATCCCCATCATGCGTTTGCCCAGGTTATATGATTTTGTATCAAATTGCGTGCATGTCATTTCACAAAATTTGTTATGTACTTATGATGAATTGATACTATTTTCTGAATATTCAATTCATAATCATCGATTTTTATATAATATAGGTCCTAAATAGTTTATCAAAATTCATATTTTTCATGATTTTACTGAAAAAATAATTACTCTATATTTAGTGCATCCACACACAAACATATTAGGCCTACTATCAATATAACTTGGATGCTGGTGTGAGGAAATAAAAATTTAAGGAGGAAAATTTGACATTTATATTAATAATTTGAAGAAAGCAATTAGTGGATAGTGAGGCAATGACGTCACAGACTCGTGAGTGAGTTGTCAATAAATATCTTGTGATTTTCAAATTTTGTCATGTCGTTAAAAATGTATAACTTTCTATAGTTTGAGCAAAATCGGATAGCTATAGCTGTCCGATTTTACTCAAACCTTTTTTTTTTTATTGGTTCGTGAGATTTATCTACTTCTATTAAAAGTAAGTTTTGGGGGGAGTGCATGTACACTGTTGGTCATAATGGTGGAATATTTATTTTTACCTCAGTTTAGGGAAGGATTTTAACAAATTATTTATTTCCAATAGATCTAGATAATGGCATACATTCTCAGATTTTATTGAATATTAATTTGCGAGTGTTTGTTTTGCGTGACTGCTTAATCATATGTGTGCTACTATGCTAATCAGCTAGGGAACCTACGTTCTTAAATCATAATTGACAGTTATGAGGATTAATGCCTCACAAAAGGGCACTAATAAAGCTGATCGACACGATTTTTATCCTGGGGTCTCACAGTAACGAGGCCATTGCTTAGCCCCTGAATCATGACTGTACGCAGTGTTTGCTAGGGTACGCGGCCCCTTCCACAAATCCCCCAAAACGAAGAAAATGCAATAAATTGTCAAAAATTCATTGGATTTTCCCCCGGCCCCCAACAGGAAAAATTCCTCTGTGTGGCCATGCCTTGAACCATAATGCATGGCCCTACAGAGGAATTTTTCCTGTTGGGGGCCGGGGGGAAATGCAATTAATTTTTTGACAATTTATTTCATTTTCTTCGTTTTGGGGGATTTGTGGAAGGGGCCGCGTACCCTAGCAAACACTGCGTACAGTCACGATTCAGGGGCTAAGCAATGGCCTCGTTACTGTGAGGCCCCATGAAAAAAATCGTGTCGATCAGCTACATATTAGTGCCCTTTTGTGAGGCATTAATCCTCTTTACTGTCAATTGTGACTTAAGGACGTAGGTCCCTTAGCTGATTAGCATAGTAGCACACAAATGATTAAGCAGTCACGCAAAACAAACACTCGCAAATTAATATTTAATAAAATCTGAGAATGTATGTCATTATCTAGATCTATTAGAAATAAATAATTTTTTAAAATCCTTCCCTAAACTGGGGTAAAAATAAATATTCCACCATTATGACCAACAGTGTACTTGCCCTTTAAGGTTCAACTGCCATTAATGAATGAGGTTATTAGGCCAAATAACAAAAATAACGTGTTTCTCGTCCGGACTTTAAAAAAAAAGGAGGAGACAGGGCATTACTATTTACTATTTTTTTCCAAGATGGCTGCCATGCTAATTATAATAATAATAATAATAATCAAACATTTTTATATAGCGCATAACACATAGGCAAAATTGCATGTCTCTATGCACTTTAAGGAAAGAAAAGAAAAATGCACTGAGTTCATGATTCTTATTATTTATGAAGCGGTGAAGAGATATGTTTTCAGAGAATTGATAAAGGTTTTATAGGATCCTGTGCTTTTTAGATGTTCAGGCAACTTGTTCCATAAAAAAGCAGCTGCATATGAAAAGGACCTTTCCCCGTATGATTTTGTCATTGTTTGTGGAACACAAAACAGGGACTTGGAACTGGAACGTATATGGAGTTATCAATTCAGTAAGATATAAAGGAGCTAGATGATGTAAACATTGGTAGGTTGATAAAAGAATTTTAAACTGGATTCGGGACTTGATGGGTAGCCAATGTAGAGCTTGCCAAGTCTCTTCATTTACAAATACAGGCATTGTGTTATGAGAATATACTGATGCAATGTGTAACAGAACAAACGAATTGTTTCACTATAGAAGCTACAGGTATTTTTAAACCAGAGAGGTGAAAGAAAGGAGTGGAATCAAGCCGCTTTCCTTTGACCCCATGCTCCAAGCCGCCGAAAAGTTATGCGCTAATCTGCAACTGTTCACCTGGGGGTGGTTTCACAAAACTTTTCATCAGTGACAAAATAATGACAATTACACAAATGACAAATGACAATTTGTATTATAAGCTACTGAAATCCTTGCTTCTGATTGGCTATCAGCAGATTTGTCACTGATTTTTGTCATTTGTCATTGAAAAAACGCTTTGTGAAACGGGCCCCAGGTGGTGAGATAAAAGAGTGCATGGAATTTCAGGATTTAGAATTTTACATCAGAAAAATGGTATCCCAGCAACTGTTCGCTGTCCTTTTCAGTGATTTCTCATCATTAATTGTTAAATTGTGGTGAGTAGAACAAGCGAACACAAACTTGTGTCATTTCATCCTTTTTCCAACTGCAAAAATACAAAAAAAAACATGCGAAAACACGCATTAGCAAACTTATCGAGGATTGTAAATCGTGCATGGATTAAAAACGGAACATTAAAACATGCACTATGTAGCGCATTATCCTAAAATATTGAGTTTTTGTCAGGATCTAACTTTTCTTTTACCAACTCTGGCGCACAAATCATAGGAAGGGGGGAGTACTAAATTTAAACGAATTGTTTGATGCACTATCCCCAATACAATCCTCATATCAAGTTCATAATTTACACTGAAATTTTGCAGGTAATTTAATATTTTGTAATAAATGTGAAACGGGTTTCTGGCCTCCAAAATTCCCCGCAGTGGAAGCGCGGCTTGGAGCCGGTTCGGAGCATGGGACTTTAAAACCAAGTGGAATGTTACACATCCCATTGTTACGCTTTAGAACTCACGAATGCGTTTGAATAAATTACAAGAGTTTCCACTTCTTTCTTTCACCTCCCTGTTTAAACTGGATGTTTATATATTACAGGGCACTGGATTTTTTTTTTTTTTTTTTTTTTTTTTGGGGGGGGGGGGGGGGGGGGGGGGGGGTTCTTCTTCTGAATGGTATTAACAAAAAAAGGAGGCGGCGGTCATAAGTCCCCCCCCCCCCCCCTCCCCTGCAGCTAAGAGAGGAGCACTTGGAGGTTCTGCATGAGAAATACCGAACTTTAATTAAATTGTGCTTTAAATTGTATTTGATTCGATGTAAAGTCCAAAAAATCTTATTTAAACGTCTTTATTGAAGTTTGACCTACCTGACCTAAGCCTTCCGCATCATCTGGGAGATGTGTGGTGGCTTCTGCTTCATGACCTCAAGCCAGATCTTCCTATCTTGTGACGTTCTGGTCGCTTCTGTGAGGGATCCCAGACATCTATTAGCACAATCAGCCTTTACACAATCAAGTCATTTCTTGGCTGGTCTGCCCCGGGTCTATCACCATGAATATTTGAAGTTAGGAGTATCTTTGGGTATTGAAGTTTAAAAAGAATATTGAGATAATAAAATTGCATAAAAGATAAAAAGTTACGTTTATATTTTTATAAATGGTCTTTTAATATTGGAAACCCAATTTATTTCTAATACTTTATTTATTTTCGGGGGAGGGGATCACAACAGCCCGTGCTCCCTTGAAAGCCAAGTGGGATGCCTTTGGTACGAAAGTCCAACAATGTTCCCGTCTTTATTTTTAGGTGATGCACTTTTTTTACAATATATTTCTTCTCATTTTTGTATATACCTCTCAGCAAATTTTAAGATTGATTCCCAAACCATAGTTTAAAATTCTGGAACCGCACTAGCTGCGTTATATGATAGCGAGCTTGCCTCTCTCTCTCTCTCTCTCT